CCATTGGATATTACCATTAAACCTGCATCCTCATCTTAACTTGTAAATAACAGTTACTATGAACACATTTTCTTCCTTGTAACTCTCCTTTGGAGGAATGCTTATACCCTTGTGTACATAACGTTTCTTATCCACTGTTATAAATGGCTTGCCATAAATGACGAAAATGTTTTGTTTTCTATGACGTTAATCGTCAGAGAGGTTACACACGCTATGTGTAAGTTAGGCCACGTAGTGAAAACAGCCTGTAGATAAGGGACAATATATTTTTGTGATGTTTTGTTTTCGAGGAACAAAATTATTCCCATACAAAGATCCACTTTATAGCCGATACGTTTTGGTTGACTCCCAAATTGTATCTCAAATCTGTAATCGTAACACATGGGAAAGGATGTAATAGCTAAATGGATGACTCTTAAGTAATATGTAAATTATTATCATTTTCTCTTACTTGTGTTGGTGTAGTTTGACTCATGACTAAATCATCCACACACTTCTACTTCTTGTCCCACCTATCCACATACATCTCATCTACTTACTAACCCATCCACATACATCTCATCTACTTACTAACCCGCCTACATACATCTAATCTACTTATTAACCCATCCACATACATCTCATCTACTTACTAACCCGCCTACATACATCTCATCTACTTACTAACCCATTCACATACATCTCATCTACTTACTAACCCATCCCCATACATCTCATCTACTTACTAACCCATCCACATACATCTCATCTACTTACTAACCTATCCACATACATCTCATCTACTTACTAACCCATCCACATACATCTCATCTACTTACTAACCCATCCGCTCTTAAGCTACCCTACCAACTAACCCACCCACATACTTCTCAACTACCTACTAACTTGCCTGTCCACTTCTCATCTACTTACTATCCTAAACCAACCCGCCAACGTCTCAGGTACCCGCTAACCAACCCACCCACCGACTCCTTAGCTATCCACTAAACCAACCCGTCAACTTCTCAGGTACCCACTAACCCACCCACCGACTCCTTAGCTGTCCACTTAACCAACCCGCCAACTTCTCAGGTACCCGCTAACCCACCCACCCACGGACTCCTTAGCTGTCCACTAAACCAACCCGCCAACTTCTCAGGTACCCACTAACTCACCCACCGACTCCTTAGCTGTCCACTAAACCCACCCGCCAACTTCTCAGGTACCCACTAACCCACCCACCCACTCCTTAGCTACCCACTAAACCCACCCGCCAACTTCTCAGGTATCCGCTAACCCACTCCTTAGCTGTCCACTAAACCAACCCGCCAACTTTTCAGGTACCCGCTAACCCACCCACCGACTCCTTAGCTATCCACTAAACCCACCCGCCAACTTCTCAGGTATCCGCTAACCCACCCACCGACTCCTTAGCTATCCACTAAACCAACCCGCCAACGTCTCAGGTACCCGCTAACCCACCCACCCACCGACTCCTTAGCTATCCACTAAACCAACCCGCCAACTTCTCAGGTACCCGCTAACCCACCCATCCACCGACTCCTTAGCTATCCACTAAACCAACCCGTCAACTTCTCAGGTACCCACTAACCCACCCACCGACTCCTTAGCTGTCCACTAAACCAGCCCGCCAACTTCTCAGGTACCCGCTAACCCACCCACCCGTCCACCCACCGACTCCTTAGCTGTCCACTTAACCAACCCGCCAACTTCTCAGGTACCCACTGACTCACCCACCGACTCCTTAGCTGTCCACTAAACCCACCCGCCAACTTCTCAGGTACCCACAAACTCACTCACCCACCCACTCCTTAGCTATCCACTAAACCAACCCGCCAACTTCTCAGGTATCCGCTCACACACCCACCCACCCACCGACCCCTTAGCTATCCACTAAACCAACCCGCCAACGTCTCAGGTACCCGCTAACCCACCCACCAACTCCTTAGCTATCCACTAAACCAACCCGCCAACTTGTCAGGTACCCGCTAACCCACCCACACACCCACCGATTCCTTAGCTATCCACTAAACCAACCCGCCAACTTCTCAGGTACCCGCTAACCCACCCACCGACTCCTTAGCTGTCCACTAAACCAACCCGCAAACTTCTCAGGTACCCACCCGCCCACTTCTCGTCTACCTACTCTTACATCCACATGGGTCTCTCCTACGTTTTAACCCATCCACCCCACTTAAACACATTGCTTCTCATTTTACCAACCCAATACCCCGGATTCAGACATTACAAACTTAGAGCTTTACAGACATTACGAGCATATTGCTTCTTCGGCAGGATCATTCACACGAACGATATAGATACATATAACAGTTTCAACGTCCATGCGGTTGTTAGTAACTGAACAGTTGTAACTGTAACTGTTTTTTAAGAAAGTTATACATTATGCAACACTCCATCTATCGACCTAGTAAACATACAACTGTGTTTCGGCCTTGTCGTTGTGTATAAATACTGGTTTTGTTGTTTATTCTTTATGGTGGTAAATTAACTATAAACAACGGCATACAGTGCGAAAAGAGAGATAATGGGGGCCGCGTAAATATATTTGCTCTTTATCAATAATCCTTTCAGATCGCATTAATGCTGATCAATAGCAGACCGTAATGATGTGTGCGATAGAAGATACAGATGCAAAATTCAACAGAGCGGCTTTGTGGACACGATAACCACGCGCCCAACGATCTAGAGTTCTGGCAGATGAAATTTTAGTTGCGAAACACCAACGACAGCTTACACAGCAAAAATAACTTGGTTTCCGTTCTTGCGGAAACCAAATGGATACTGGGTAATGTAGGTTTCCGCTAGGTTTCAGTATCCGGAAACAGACAATGCGAGTTTCCGCATAGTTTATGTAAAGGCTGGATATTTTGTCCTAGTCTCTATTGTTTATATCAATCAAACCGGTTTTCATATATTCCAAATGTGTTGGGTATAAATTTTTCCCCACTTTGTGTATATATATATGTATTTTTATACTTCCCATTGGCCATTAAAGTTATTGTGACTTTCACCTCACCTCAGGTGGGGCCCCATGTAAATCCTCTGATAGGAGGGGTGTGACGATTCTTTTGGGTTATATAATTAAAGTTATTTATGTAAATACTCTTTGGGGTTGTGTGCTCATATATGCACATATACTTTTGTTCCAGTATTGTGTTTATATATTCTCTAATAATATTGTTTCCCCTAATAAGTATTGTCGTCACATCCTATATATCAGTCGGATTATTATTTATTTTCATTATTGTATCTGTACAATGGCTCTTTCTGCCTGCACTGTCGAGGTGACAACAAGCCAACTTGTTTTTTAGGTTTCACCTGGACTGTGCAGTCGGAATTGCAACCCTGTAACCAAGACCTTTTATTTTAATACATATTATTACTGTCTTTTTGTGTTGTGTCATCTTTGACTCGAGCACTTCGCGCAATAGACACACTTGCCCATCCCTTTTACTTTGAGACGTAATTGTTACGCAACCACAGCAATTACCCAAGTCTTACATTGGCGCCCAACGTGGGGCAAAGTGTCGCAAGCGCCCATAGTACCCCTCAACGGTCAAAGATATACACTCATTGGCACATAAGGCATAATTTTGTATCTATACTCCTACCCTTAGTTGCCTTAGTCAACTAAGAATTCTCAGTACCTCAACCTCATCTCCTATTTTTGTCAACATGTCCTCGCTCACGAACTCTGAGCTCTTGGACACTATGTTGTCTTAAGCTTGGGGACACTGTACTCATCAGAGAGGAGGAGTATCAAGTTATGAAAGTGAACTTGGTTCGGGAAGGATCCTCTCTAGAAGACGTCGTGGCCAGGGCAGTAGATCAGGCCCTGGACAGGAAGACAGCCCTGATGATGGAGGCGATAAAGTCGCAGATGCTGGAAGAGTTCCAACTGCTATTACGACAGCTTCCATCAGCTACGACCAGCACCGGATCCATCAAACCAAATCCAACAACTCCCACACCTGTTCTGGCGGCTAACGATGTTGCTGCTGCCCACTCAGAATCCCCAGCCGCTAGCGACTCTAATGTTGCAAGCTCGAGTGCTGGGGTTGTGGGTAGCGGTAGCACTGTACGCCCAGACCCACAACAGGTGCTGGTGAATTGGGATCGTCCCTCATCCAGCTACTTCAGATTGAAGACCTTCTCTGGTACAAAACCCATCAAAGCTGGAGAGGTAGCCTTTGAAGAATGGGCCCAACAAGGAAAGACCATGCTAAAACTCGGAAGAACTCCTGGGAAGAACAACCTCACCCTGAAGACGCCTTTTGGGGATAAGTGGACAGAGAAATGCCAAACAGCTTTTGAGAAGATCAAGGAAAAACTAACCACTCCTCCTGTGTTAGGCTATGCTGACCTGTCTGCCCCTTTTGAACTCCACACTGACGCCAGTGGCACTGGACTCGGAGCTGTCCTTTACCAACAACAATGCGGTAGCCTGAAGGTCATCGCCTATGCAAGCCGAGGTCTTTCTAAAAGTGAGGCAAATTATCCAGCACACAAGCGCGAATTTCTAGCATTGAAGTGGGCTGTTACTGACAAGTTCCATGACTACCTGTATGGTTCGGAATTCACAGTCGTAACAGACAACAATCCCCTTACATATGTCCTGAAGTCGGCGAAAGTTGATGCCATGGGATACCGATGGTTAGCAGCCCTAGCAGCCTACAACTTTAACATCAAGTATCGACCAGGAGTGCAGATGACTGATGCAGATGCTTTAAGCCGCTTGCCACAGGAATCTCAAGAAGAAGATCTAGAGTTTAAACAAGACACTGAAAGAATAGACTGGTTGATTGCTTGGAGCACACCCCACGCTGCTCCAGAATCTGGTGGAGTGTTCCTCATGCTCAATCCGGGCTATTCTTCAATGTCATGGCATTCACAGCAGTCCAGAGGGTAGGCAGCAAGGGAATCTCAAAGAAATAAGCAGGCAAGAAAAGAAATGCATGGCATACTCTCAAAACGCTGTCATGTCCAGCACTGAAGAACCTGTTCTGGTGGAAGCTCTGTCCAGTTCCAAGAAAGCAGTTCCTGACAGTTTGGTGAAGCCACCTACAGTCCTTGATAGAGCTCAGTCATCAGTGGATTGGAAAACAGCGCAGGGCTTGGATTCGGAGATTTCCCACATCAAGTCAAAGGAGGGACCATGCAAATCAGAGACATCCAAAATCCCTCCCGACATGCATGTCTACCTGCGAGAATTGGAGAAGCTTATAATTAAAGATGACATCCTCTACAGAATGGTCACTGATGCCAAGGGTATAGAACGACAACAGCTGGTCATCCCCAAACAATATCGCAAGGAGGCAATTCATGGAGTTCATGATCAAGTTGGACATCCTTGCAGCAACAGCACTTTATCCCTTGCCCGCCAGAGATTTTTCTGGCCATTAATGGCCACCTCTATCCAAACTTATTGTTCAAACTGTGAAAGATGTATCAGGAGGAAAGCCAGGAAAGAAACTGCACCACTGGAAGCCATCTTACCATCTGTCCCACTTGAACTAGTCTGCATTGACTATCTGTCCATCGAACCAGACAATGGTGGCTTTGAAAACGTACTGGTGATCATGGACCACTTCACAAAGTACGCAATGGCAGTTCCAACAAAGGATCAGAAAGCTACCACTGTAGCCAAAGCTTTATGGGAAAACCTCATCTGTCACTATGGTTACCCTCAGCACCTACTGTCGGATCAAGGACGGGACTTTGAATCAAAAGTTATCAAGAAGTTGTGCGATATTGCTGGCATCAAGAAAATAAGAACGTCACCATACAACCCAAGGTGCAATGGTGTGACCGAAAGGATGAATCGTACACTCTTGGATATGCTCGGCGCTCTCAACCACAGCCAAAAGAAAGACTGGAGAAAATATGTTGGACCTCTAGCCCATGCGTACAACTGCATTGCACATGACACCACAGGCTACTCACCATACTACCTCATGTTCGGCCGTCATGCGCACCTACCAGTAGACATGGTGTTTGGAACAGATCCTGACAGCAGGACTTCAAAAGGACCTCAACAGTATGTCAAAGATCTGTGGGACCGACTCCAGTTTGCATTCCATGTGGCCAGGGAGAATGCCCAAAAGTCAGCAATTCGCAACAAGGGTTACTATGACCGAAAGGTTCATGCAGCAGTATTGGAACCAGGTGACCGGGTGCTTGTCCGCAACATTGGGGTCAAAGGAAAACATAACATCGCTGACAGATGGAAGTCGGGAGTCTTCATTGTTGAACGTCGCCAAGGTGAACTGCCTGTCTATGTTGTTCGACCAGAAAATGGAGACGGGCCCTCAAAGACTTACCATCGCAACCTCTTACTTCCTGTTGGTTCATTGCCCCTAGAAATGGATGAACCAGAAAGAAACCAGTGTCACAGGCGGCCTGTCACCAGATCCAGAGCCCGAAATCATCAACCGGAGAACATCTTGGAATCCTCTGAAGATGAAGTACACACTGTCAATGTATGGTATCCACAGCCTGAACCTATTGGAGCTGTACCCACTAGCAGCTTGAACCCTGAGGCTCAACCCTTTGAACCACAAGAACAGGCGCTGCCATACACACAACCTACTGTAGAGGAAGTCCCTGCTATCCAAGTGGTTCCCGGTATGCAGAATGAGGCAACCACTGCAGCACCCCTCACCTGTGAAACGGTTGCAGTGGAAGCCAAAGCTGCTCCATCAGAACCCATGGAGAGTGGGGACTCAGGAGAACTACAAGGGAGAGAAGATGGGCTGCCTGAAGATCCGGACAATGAGGATACATCGCTCATCGCTTCTTGTGATCCGGTAGAATCATCTGGTTGTGAGCCAGACCTATCTGAGAACTCTGTGGACTCTGCTATAAGTGATCCAGTTGCCGCTGACGAGCCACTCCAGTCTCTCCCCTGTGAGGAGACTATTATCATGACCTTGCCGGAAGCTCCTCGTAGATCCCAGCGCCAGCGACGAAGCACTAGGTTCTTTTCCTGGGATCCATTTGGGAAGAAGTATTGTTCAGCTGAAGCATTGTTTAATCATGTATTTGTATTTACCAATTTCAGTTCGGGTGACAAAATTTCCTTAAAGGGGGGGAGAGTGTAAAGGCTGGATATTTTGTCCTAGTCTCTTGCACAAGTAACCCAATATCCTGCCCTTTACCAGTTATCTGATAGGGTTCTGGGGCTCAAGGCACTGGTGCCATGGTTTCCATAGCAACAGTTTTTTAGCCAATCCCCAGGGGCTATGTTGTCACATGACAGGGGCAAGAGGGAGCGTGGGACCCCCAAGCCTGAAATCTTCCTCTTTCTGCCTGCACTGTCGAGGTGACAACAAGCCAACTTGTTTTTTAGGTAAGAACCTCAGTTTGCTTCCATATTGCAACTAGGTCTTCTGTATTAAATTCCAATGCATAGTTATGTTGTTAGCAGGATAAGTAATTATCTGCGGCTTTTAAATTAATGTATTTTTTAATTTGATAAATCACAATTAAAACAAGTGTTGGGTCACTGTCATCAATTATTCTTGCTGTGCCAAACTGGCGAAAGGTCACTCATCTGTGACTGTCCAAACGTGCACTCGATGGCAAGAATAAATGACATGTACTCATTGTAATATATTTTCATCTAGAAATTCATTTTAGTAAAGTACTTTGTGTGTTTAGCATTAATTTGCTTATTTGACCTGCCAGTCAAAATTGTCTCTAGCTCATTGCTAAGTTCAAAATTCCATTTATTTACGACTTGTTGCTGCTAACAACAGAACTCTTTTGCCATTTTAATCTAAATTAAAAAGTGGCTGTATCACTGTCCCGGTTTCCAAACCATGTGCTCAGTTAGAGTATCATGGTATCATCTGGAACCAATTAGTGGCGGTCATGCTCACTGACCAGTGCTGACTTCTCCACTGAGCAGCACACAGCCTGGGCTGTCTTCGGCTCTCCTCGGCATTCTCCGGCTCCCGTCCGGCTCCATTACAAAATGGCTGCACCGGATGTAAACAAAACTAGGGTCCATCGTCTGCTTCATGTTTATCCTAACATAGCATTGACTACCGGGACCATGCAACTATATCAATCATATTTTAGTATGTTTCCCCACTTGATGTGAAAGTGAAGTCCCAGTTTATTCAATAATAATATAATGTATTATATTATATGGCCAATAATATACCTGCAAATTGTAGTAATGTAAATCATGTAATATCCATTTATTACATCTTATCAATGTATTTTACTACAATTAGGTGTTCATTCTGGGTAGCCCCAAGTGGTGTACCTACTGGGTGTATTGACATTCTGTTGGAGCTAGCCTCATATTGACTAGTATGATCATCCAACAGGCAGTCATACCCCATTTCCTTTAGCCACATGTGTCGTACAGGCCAGGTGTCCTGTCGTGGCTATTGTTTATATCAATCAAACCGGTTTCCATATATTCCAAATGTGTTGGGTATAAATTTTTCCCCACTTTGTGTATATATATATATGTATTTTTATACTTCCCATTGGCCATTAAAGTTATTGTGACTTTCACCTCACCTCAGGTGGGGCCCCATGTAAATCCTCTGATAGGAGGGGTGTGACGATTCTTTTGGGTTATATAATTAAAGTTATTTATGTAAATACTCTTTGGGGTTGTGTGCTCATATATGCACATATACTTTTGTTCCAATATTGTGTTTATATATTCTCTAATAATATTGTTTCCCCTAATAAGTATTGTCGTCACATCCTATATATCAGTCGGATTATTATCTATTTTCATTATTGTATCTGTACAATGGCTCTTTCTGCCTGCACTGTCGAGGTGACAACAAGCCAACTTGTTTTTTAGGTTTCACCTGGACTGTGCAGTCGGAATTTGCAACCCTGTAACCAAGACCTTTTATTTTAATACATATTATTACTGTCTTGTTGTGTTGTGTCATCTTTGACTCGAGCACTTCGCGCAATAGACACACTTGCCCATCCCTTTTACCTTGAGACGTAATTGTTACGCAACCACAGCAATTACCCAAGTCTTACATTTACAAAACTGAAACTAACAAATCTAGGTTTCCGTCAAGTTTCTACAACTGAAACTATCATTATGCGTTTCCATTTAGTTTCAGGTCGCTGAAACATTCATAGCAAAATGACTTAGTTTCCGCTGTTGCGGAAGCCTATTGGATACTGGGTAATGTAGGTTTCCGTTGGTTTCAGCTTAGATGAAATGGCAAACTTAGCTTTGTGCTGTTCCATTGGGGGACTATATTTACTTACTGTTACATTTGCAAGATAATTTCTATATACAGAATCCAGCTAGGGTCCATGTAGGAAGCAAAAGTACTGTAAGTTCCCGTAAGAATTATTATCAAAGTAGGAGATCATACGTCGAAACATCAGATAGGCATCAACAGTGTGCAGGACACCAACAAGGTCCAAGAGCCAATCCAAACTGGGCAAGCCAAGGGGAAATGAAGCCGACCTCCGACGACATGTTCCACATCGCCCGTCATGTTACATCGCTGAATACAAAGTTTGACATCACAGTGGAAAGCATCAAATCTCAATGAAGTCATCTCTCTTTTCATACGGTTTGAAAAATGAGCGTTGTGCGAGAATTGCGCTCTCGTGGTCCTGGATCTACGTACGGCTATAAAATTACACAGAAATGTAGAACATTAAATTTCCTATCCGTTGGGATAAATATAAGTGCAACTACCTCGGCGGTTTGAGAAATAGACCTTGCTGAATGTTGTCCAAATTTTTGCTATGCGTTAAAAAACAGTAAATTTCTCCGCTTTTTATCGCGCACCGATAAAAGCACTGTGCTACGATTTTTTAAAATTTGGCATCTTTACGGAAAGTGTGAGCGAAGAAAATACAGGCTGATATCTGAACGACATAACTGTATATGAATTGGGTTTATGTGCTTATGCATAACGTTGTACGCTCAACATTAAAAATGACTTGCAATAAATGTGAAAAATGGATTTTCTTCTATGACGTCAAACGACGACAGAGAGGTCATACACGTATAATGATAAGGGGGCATAACTCCGTCAATGTAACTCAGATAACATGGAGAGAATTTGTTGTGGATACGGACGCTGTATTTTCGGTATTTTGGGTTTACGGTGAACCAAACTATTCCAATTCAAAGTTCCCCGATGTGATCGGATACGCTTTGCTAGTTTCACAATTTATAAGAAAAGATAACAACGTACTACATGTGAAATCGCGTAATAGCGATTTGGATGGCCCTATCCGATATATAAGTTAGTTCTTAGATTTCCATATTCTCCTGTTTGTTTTGACTAATTTTGCATCGTTATTACCAGAGTACTAGCCATATCTTCAAATGTAATGAAACTGCTGAAAATAATACAACATGGTTGTTTTATGCATTTTGCGACGTCGGAAAAAGACGACATTGGTATGCTAAAAAAATATAGTATATATCTCACCTAATTTCCATTAATTGTATAAAAGGTCTCGGTTTCTATGTAAGAATTTAACACTCTTTAGACAAAAACATAAAATGACTGAGTTTTCGATCTAAATAGTGTCCTGAATATATCAACAATTAGACGGTTTGACCGTGTATCATATTTTGAGCAACACGCGCACCTGTTAAATGAAAAATAATATTTCACAACACCCGAATATTTTGTTTAGGATAAGAATTTTTTTTGTTTATGATTATGTAGCTGTTTCTCTTCATAAGTATGCAATGAAAGATGCAAAAAGTTTTTATATATGGAACTATATATTAGAATATGGATGTAAGATTTGTCCAAATTAAGACATGACATGGTTTATACAATGTATATTTTTAAACAATTTTTGTATGAATGTAGTTAGAGTTTGATATTCTTTCATCACAACATTATTTAATCGAATATGAATTGATTATATTTTCGAAAACAATGATAGTGAATATAGAATACGTTTCCGACAAACGCGCACTTAGCCAATCAATATACATCATTGTTTTGTCTATAAAACGACACAAAAATATGCAATGAACAAGACAATTCCTTTAAATATGTGTGCATATATATATTCATGCCAATAATGGTTGTCACAAACACGTGACTACACACATTTGTTACACGTTTGTGGCACGGTTGACCCCAGCTGATTTCTGGACATTTACAACAACTTTATCTGGGTTAAGTGTGTTTAAAGTGTGTTTAACGTATGACCATGAAGGGCATTCGTTTGTTGCTCATTAACAATATTGAAAAGGAACTTCAGATGACTGAATAAAGTAAAGATAGGTTTTTACTTTGAGGGTTCTTTTGTCTCACCACATCTACATTTTACAATTCACAAAATGTTTTCGAAATACGGACGTCAGGATCCCTTTACCTGTAATGTAGGTGGCGATTATTGATAGCTAAATCTCGTCGATAGAATGGATATCGGTAATCGATGTACAAAACACAGAAATGATTGTACATATCATCAATATTAGCATTGTCCCAGTAGACCACGGTGGTTCGGGTATGGTCGATGAGACGAATTGGGTAACCATTACTTGAATTAGTGTAGAACTGCTAATGCTATCAGCAAATAACCCCGTGTATGTCAATGCATTATTTACAAGATCTCCATGACATCCGTCTGTAATGCCAGGGGATGTGCAAGTATAAGGTTGCTTAAGTTTAGCAAATCTAATCAACATGTTTTTACTGAGCAGTCATCGTTGTCATCCCGACCATAACCAAACCCAAGCTCTGCTTCACATTTCTGATTTGAAGTCATACTCTTGCCCAAGATTGCCAACAACAAAGATACTATCTATATGCAGAACCACTGAGTAGAAAGACTTTCTGTCAGATTTGAAGAAATCATCCAAGACGTCTTTAGATAACATATCTTTCTTTTGATATCACATATTGAAGAAATTTGCGAAAGTAAGGCGCACTATAAACTCTCTCATCAGCAGTAGCGATTTATCTCAGTAATCCCTGCCTCTAGTACTTGGTAAAGCACCTAACATACACGAAAGCACCCAGCGTTACTATGCCAGGATTGTAGAAGGTTTTGACAAACGCTCTCGCTCTGAGGCACGTTGGACTCTACTGCAGTTTTCACAACAGTATTTTGGCCAGCC